AATATATGAAATTTAAAAAATTACAGTGAACGGAAGGGGGCAAAATTTTAAGTTTTCTCTGAGTAATGCAAATTTTGTGTTTTCTCGGTGTTCTTAGTATTTTGAGAATTTCTCCACAAAAACTTGATCAAATTCAAATAAAAAGGTGATATTCGGAATCAGCGCATTCAGGAGTATCTGAATATGTAGCTTTCGACCGAAAGCTAAGATAGTGCTGCATTTTTGCATTGCGGGCACCTTATATAAAATATCTTTTTTTCAAAATGTTCATAACTTTGTCAGGAAATGACCGATGGTCAAAACAAATTTTCTACATAGATAATTCGACTGATTGTATAACCCGGACAACCCAGAAATGAATTTTAAGAAAAAAAGTTTTTGACTGTGAAAATCCTGTCTCAGGGGAGCTAAGGGCAGCTGCGACCGTTATATTCGGGATCAGCACCATCGATTCTCCATATCCCCTTTTGTTTCATCGAAACAGCGATTTGTAACTTGGGGCGTTTCCCTCGTGAGTGGGGACCGCGTATTACGAACCCATATAGACAAAGCAGTCTATCCGATATGATTTTCTTTCCGTCGTAACGCAAAATCAAAGCAGTAGATCGTCACGTCGCATTAGGCATCATCTTCTTGCGTCGTGACGCAGTATGGTTTGAAGTTTCGTGCGTCACATCGCAGGAGACATTGTAACTCTCTTTTACACTTTTCAGACAATGGTCCTAAATCTTCAGTTCTTAACAAACTTTTCGTCTGAAAATACCTGAAGATTCTGTTTTCCATTGCTCAACACGTCACAGTCGTCTTTACTCTCTAAAAAGAAAAGGTACTCTACCGAACCTAAAAAGGGTCACCATCTATATACCCTTTTAAAGTTTCACACAAACTACGAAACCCTTTAAGGTTTCGTACAGCACCCTAAATCCGTCGTTAGAAAACATTTGTGTAAAAACACAAAAAAAAGTGTTTTCTTATTGTTCCCAAGCTTTGCCCAGTCACGGATTTAGTTAATTAAAACGGTATATAGTTTGTACGAAACCTTGAAATGGTGACAAAATTTTAAACCCTTTTTAGGTTCGGTAGAGTACCCTTTTTTTAGCGAGTATATGCAGTCTCTAGTGACCACTAAGAAACTTCGTATTTTCAAAAAGGTGAATTTGGCAAAGAAGTTTCCTAGTGGCACGACGCGCGGATAAATTTATTGTTTCAGTTTTTTAGTGCCTCTACCGGAGACCTCCTCATTGGCCGCGAAGATCGCTTATATTAGACTTAGTAGAATTAGAGTTGCTCTTCCATTTCTGAACAGAGTAAATGGGGCTTAAAAAAGCTGGACTCAAAACTGGTTCAGATAAGTGTGTATTAGTTACAAAAAAGCAGAAATTGTACAGGCATTCAACATGTCGTATCTCGCCTGTTCCAACTTTTCAACCACAAAATTTCCTGATTTTTTTGAAGACTTTTTTAGTCTTGTATCAGAAGTAGCCAGTATAGGACTAGGACTGAGGCGCAGTACAAATGTCTAGTAGACTAGTAAGATAAGGATTAAGATTCATCAAAGAGAAGAAATAGACTCGGAAAGAGCACATGACGTGCGTCATGACGCAAAACAAAACTGTTGTATTTAGGAAATTCACTTCTTTGTGCTCACGACGCAAAAGAACACATTTTATTCAACGCCGTAAAACACATTACATTTTAACACATTAAATTTTGACGTTTTGAAAAAAAAGGCGAGTAGAAAAAATACTGCTTTTTTTTATTTTTATAGCGTATCTTATGGATAAAATGTCTTTCTGCGTGTCTCTTTGCGAGTTAAGATCGAATATTTCGAACGGAAATCGTGTTAGACAGCTGAAAATCGCAGCGAAGAGAAAAGTCTTCATGGCCAATTCGAGTATAACTACGAGCATCCTCTCACATCGGTCCATCCAGGTTTTTCACTTAATATTCTTAGACAACGACAGCTGAGCCATGTGTGTTTTGAGAAATATACTCTACAGAAATAGTGAGAAAGCCGTGCACTCAGATTCTACGTCAACTGACGTAGAAGTACGTTAAGAACTGGGTGAATTGAAGATGAGCGTTGTATCACTGTACACTAGATAATTTAATTGAATTCTCTTGCTACTTCTTTGCAGACCAGCTACTGGTAGAAATGCTACAAGTCCGAAAGAAGATGAGGCACAACTATTGGCGGCTTCAACAGAATGGATTCGACGATTTAATATGGCCGATTTCAAATATGTAGTTGATACATATTTACCCACGGCAAAACTGTATGCTCGCAATGCTGGTGCTGCATCACTACCACTTATTGGACGAGAGCAAATCGGCAAGTTTTGGAATAACTTTTACAAGGAAACTAATGCAACAAACTTAATTTATTATGATCGGAAAATCGTCATAACTGGTCCAGGTCGTGGTGAATCATCATCGAGATGGACAATGAATGTTGACGATGGATTTATTGATCGAGAAACATGGGTGAGAAATTCAGAGACTGGAATATGGTCGATTGCTTTTGACGACTTTACAGTAGAACAAAGTTATATTTCTGGGTACGTTGAAAAGGGTTTAACTTTTGATCTGTGCTCATGCCGTAGACAAAAACTCATCTCCTTATTTAAGATTCTTATCAATCTTATTTGATTCTTATCAAATTCTTATGTAAGATTACGCAGGAAAGTGAATAGAGTTTGATAATAATCTTATAAGGTTTCATGATAAGAAAGTTCATAAGAAAGCGATATGAAGTCCTTATCTGTTCTTATAAATGTGTTACAAAATGCTTATTCTTAGCGAATTTTGATGAGAAGTTTCTAGTCAGAAACTTGATTACATCATGTAATTATAGGGAGTATGTGATTAGATAACGCTAATATGTAATATACTTCGCGAAGTTTAATGCGCTTACGATTGTAACGTAACCTTAGAAGACTGACGAGGTTAAGGAGATTTGGTTCAAGCATTGTGTATCTCAACAATAAAAGCTGAGGAAAGGGAAAAAACCTTACAAGAGTGTGGAAATGAGAGCTGCATAAAAATGTATGAGTCTACACTTAGCCCCCACTTGTGTAACTGCTTTTTGCTTGAACTCTAGTGGATAATAGGTAATCGACTGCGTTAAAGCTGAACCTGACATCGGTTTGTGCTGCTAGGCCTTTAGAGATCGGGTTTCTGGAAAACCAGGTGCTTAAAAACTCTAAAACATACTCAAAACCTTTCTAAATGAGGCATGATTGTAGCCCGCACACTTCTGATTAAAATCAGACATCTCCTAGCTCTACATGTCTTTTCTTTGCAAAGTTATAGAATTTACACGAAAAGCCCTAAATTAATTTCTTCTTATTTTTGTAGCTTTGAGCTGACAATGAACATTTAGGGCTTTTCTTGTAATTGTATATATATATAATTTTGCAAAGAAAGGTCGTGTATAGCTGTGAGATTCTACTGCTAGAGCTGTATAATCAGAAGTTTACGGTCTACAGCCATGCCGTATTAAGAAACGTTTTGGTTATTTTTTAGAGTTTTTGAAAACCTGGTTTTCCAGAAACCCAGTATCTGGAGGCCTAGCAGCACAAAACGATGTCAGATCCGGCTTTAGCGCAGTCGATTATTTATTGTCGACTAGAGTTCAAGCAAAAAGTGATTGCACATTTAGGGACCTTTCCTCGTTAGTAATTGTTATACGCCGTACAGCAGTTACTAACGAGGAAAGATGTAGCCTCTGACATTGAGATCTCTGTGTCTTAAAAACTAAAAGAGACATTTTTCCAAAAACTAGCTGGACATAGAGTACAACTTGTGTACTTCAAACCGACAGAAAAACTGGAGAAGGATGTCTTCCAATTGGTTAACTTTTTTTAATGAAAAGTTGCCAAAATATACACTCATTTTATAACGAGTGCGATTTTATTTTTGGATAAAAGCATAATATTTGTTCTTTTCTTCGTTTCTTGCTTTATATTTGTTTTTATATGCACACAGAAGGTGCATTGACAGCGATATTGACAGCTCTATATCTCAAAAAGTAGATTATACCCTTTTCTAAAAAACAGCTCGGCATACAGTACAACTTGTGTACTTGAAATGATCTTAAAAACTGGAGAGGAGTACTTTCAAATTTGTTAACTTTTTAATCTGGGAAATTGACAGAATATAGAGTAATTCCATACTAATTGCAGTGAACATTTCGATGAAAAAAAAAATTTATTCACTTTTCACTTTCTTGCTTTTTATATGTCTCTATATATGCGTAGAAAAGGGGAAAAATCAAATAGAACGAAAAATTACACTACAATTCCGTTCATTTTTCTTCTTTACTCTTCAGTTCTTCATTTTACTTCGTTTTTCTTATCGTGGGATACAACATGCATATAAGACTACATTTCTCTTCAGCTCGATATAAGAGAATAATATTTAAATCGAATATCTATTTGTTATATCGACAAGAAAGAGAGTGCTCAGTGCGTTCAAGCAACCACGATCATTATGAATTTTATGAATGAAATACCCTGATGAAATCTTTGCATCGTACAATGTAACTCGTGACGCTGATTCCGAATATGTAAAAATGTCAAGGTACCCTGTCTAGAAAAAAAACATCAAATTTTGATATGAGTGGAGACGTTATTCGACGCTAGTGTTTGTCGAACATCTCTGATTGTTGGCATTATCGACCACATTTCTATATACCAAAAGTAGCTTTATCCAGAGTTACGAAAAAGAATCAGTTCTCGTAAAAATCAAAAATGTATTGAGCTGTAGAAACAACATAGTAGTCAATCAGATATAGTAACAGAATAGAGGCCAACATACTGTTAATATGTCGGAAGTATCATGTGTGACAATGAACAATTGACGATTAAGATAAGCTAGGAGCAAATGCTGGGAGCAAATCACTACAATCAGCTCAAAAAGTGTCGCGAATTACGTCGATTATAGTAATCTCCTTGCGGTGTTATTCCCGAGATATTAATACTGTTAAGTTACTCACTCTCACGTTTAATTCCTCTCTCCCAGCTCACTACTATGAGAAAACTTCTGTTGTGACAAAATGAAGCAACAACGTCTTAGTCTCCTTGATATGTAGTACACTAATATCTCTCGCTCTTTTTACATATCTCAGTTTCCAGGATGATGGATATTAATGTACCGATCTTGCCTGGGCGAAATTGGATTCATCCTATGCAAACATTTAGGTTTTACTTTTGTCTGGACAAATTCTCAATTTTCCTAAGCTACAAGTTTATCTGTGATATAATCGATGAGAAAAAACGTTGTTATTAAAAGATAACCGAAGGCAAAGAAAAAATTTTCCAAAAGTTTGAAAAATTTTCAAAGAATTAAAAAATGAAAAGTCTTTACTTTAAATTTGGATGTAAAGGAAAAAGGGGTAATAGTAAAACATGAAGACACCCACAGACAGCTCACATACAACCACAGACAGATACACAGACATCCAAACACAGACATCCATGGATGTCTGTAGGTTTTACTATTACCAAGGAAAAAGCTTGTATATGAAAAAATTGTTGTTTCCATTTGTCTTGAAAGAAAAATGTTTTCGTTTCTTCGCAAACTTTCACGGGTAGTATTTAAACGAATACAGTTTAATTATGAGTTAATTTATGTTTTTTGTTCCCGATGAGTTACTCCGAGTAAATAATTGGAAAAAGCGTCCATTTAGCTAAAAACATTTTCCAAACAAAAAAGGATAGCATTAAGATATAATCAAAAAACAATCTCATTTAAACACAAGCTTGTCGTGAAACATTTAATGTGTACAAACCAAGTCCTTTCCAATTAAACATTAGTTGAAAAATTCTTTTTTTTAGAACTAATGTAAACTGTGCTGTTTTAAAGGAAAGTTCACGTTTATCAGACGATTTTGTTGTTTTTCTACTTGGTTGCAAACGTTTTCTATTCTCAAGAAAAGAAAAACAAAAATATTTGTAGAGATAGAAAACAAAATTGCTTCCACTTGCTAACATTTCTTTTCGTTTAGACGCAAACTTTTATTTCTTTACAGATAGTTAATGTTTGAAAGGAAAATAGTTTGTGTTTATGCGACAGAAACACTGAAAAAACGCCTCAATAGGCAAACGCATCATGCCGTACCAGCCTAGCTACGGACACTTATCTCGCTACCGGCAAATCATTTCTATTTTTGTCTCACATTCGAAAAGTTCTGTGGCTTCCCAAATCTATTGTTAAAATCAGGTTTTTGATAATAACAGCGGAATCGATTTCAAATCGAATTAGGCTGGCCAAAACTGAAATTCTGCTTTTGGCTGCCAGCCAAACTTAGAATTGAAATGTCTACATATGGAGGATTCCAGTTTTGACCAGTTCAATTCGGAATCTGGCTGAATTCTAAGTTTGACCACAACTAGGGATGTTACAAGCTTCGAGACTATCCATCAAAGATAGATGTTTTCATTATTCAAAACCCCCAAGCTCTGCCGAGCTTTTGTGAGACGTAACCAGTTTTCTCTACTGTATCCGAAACTAGTGCTAGGATTAGTGTAAATCAATAAAAAATTACCGGGCTTGGTAAAGGTTGTTCAAAAATACAGATAAAGGTCAATTTTCACCAACCTTTACCAAGCTCGGTACTTTTTTATTGATTTTGACCAATTCTAGCACCAGTTTCCGATACAGCAGAGAAAACTGGTTACGTCTGACACAAAAGCTCGGCAGCGCTTGGGGTTTTGAATAATGAAAACATTTGATCTCTGATGCAAGGTCTCAAAGCTTGTAACATCCCTAGCCCCAACGTATATATCTCTTTTCTTACCGACTAACCAGTATTTTCTACACGCTAAATATTTTCTTTCTCTCACTTCACGTATATTCTTCTTTCATCACCTGACTCTTGTCATATTGTGTCAGACCGTCAGGATACACGATTAACGGTACTGAGCGAATCATTTATGAGACTAGGATTAATTAAAGCAATAGACAAAAACTCCTTGATGAATAAACAATACTCATTCTTATCTTTATCAGTAATACTCCAATTATCCCAATTTATACTGTGTCTCTACGCACCATAATGTTCTTGAACAGCTGATTTTACTTCACTAAATCAGAATAAATTTAGCAAAAATTTCTTAAGAAATCATTTTTTTCCTTTACCAAACATCGATTTACATTAGACTCAACTTTTATATTAAAAGCAGAAGTTTTTATTAAAATGTAAAAAATGAGTAAAAAACTGAAAAGAACACTTAAAAATCTTTTTATCAGAAACTGCAAGTTCAGGAAACGCAAAACGTTTTCGGGCACATACTCAGAACTGTCCTCTTCAAACTGATGAGAGAAACAAGGTAGGGATGCCTTTAATCCTCTTGACGTGGGAACAGCTAAAAATAACTGGTATCGTAGAGAGGGAATTCTCCATGGCCAATTCAACTATAACTACGAGCATCCTCAGACAACGTCTAGTGTTCATCGGATAACATGAATTTCGCCATCTTACACTTTTACAATGGACTTCGGCAATTAATTGCCGAAAGTTGTGCTTACGTGAAAAATTGTTGACGACTCACACTCAACACCCTCACTCACACAACTTTCGGCAATTGCTGAAAGTCCACGGCGAAAGTGTACGACGGAGAATTTCCCGTTTCCCTGTTCATCCAGGTTTTTCACTTAATATTCTTAGACAACGACAGCTGAGCCATGTGTGCTCTGAGAAATATACTCTACAGAAATAGTGAGAAAGCCGTGCACTCAGATTCTACGTCAACTGACGTAGAAGTACGTTAAGAACTGAGTGAATCGAAGATGAGTGTTGTGTCACTGTACACTAGATAATTTAATTGAATTCTCTTGC